AGAGCGCAGGGCGGACGTAGGTCCGAGATCAACCCCGACGCGTCGCGACGCCGATCTGAGTACGTGTGCCAGGCAGCGAAAACGTTTTTGGTGCACCAATACTACACACTACACAGTGAATGATTTTTGGCGGTTTGTTACATTTGCACATTGCTAATCTGAACTAATCCTATTTGCGTGTATCAATGTCTTGGTAATGTACTGCTCTTTCGGAGTGAAGGTATTATGCTACGCTTTCAAAATTCTTTCAAATTCAGTTAGCTATACAATAAATATACACACTGCTCTTCTGCCAATTTCGAACTACTTGCCGAGTCTCGATGGTCATGGGCGGACCCAGAGATGATTTTGAGGGAGGGGGTATTTGTGTGTTGATATGTAAGTGTAGATAAACAAATATAATATAAATTATAAATAAAGTAATTAATTTATAATAAAATGCTTTTAACAAAATGAAAATATTAAATTTAATATTTCATTGTAATGAAAACTCAATAGTTTTAAATTAAAAACTGTAATAATTTGTTATTAAAATCATTGAATTCAGAGCTGCAAAACCACGGAAGTATTAAGGTATTATATTTTTCATTCTATGATACAGATGTCAACAGGTAGACTTTAAATAAAAACGCATGATATCGATTTACAAATTTTACATTCGCTTACGTACAAACATTACTGTGCGAGACTTAGATATGGTCTCTCTCTTCTTAAGTATTGATTAACCTCGCCGTCTCCAGGCGTATGTAAACTTCCCATGCCCTATGCTTTGGTTTCGGGCACACTGCGCGAATTGTCGCAGCGTCTCACGATCATTCATTTGGCACTTAAAGAGAGAGACCTTACTTCGTTAAGACTGCTGCCGGTTGCGTCGGCCACACACCAATACTTAACAGGTAAAAGTAGGTATGACCTGCGACTCGCCTCTGGAGAACAGTCGAAGACATTTTCCATACAAACCACTGGGGGCAAAATACAGTGAGATTCATAATTCCCATTCGTAACTAAGGAAGGACAGAAATAGCGGTTATTTTTTCGATACATCTTTGACGTTTCTATACGTTTTTCTTGTGTTACTCATTTTTATTTTTGCTGCACTTTTACCATTTCATTTTTTTCCTTCTGGGCCTCTTTTTTTGTGAGGGGGTATGCCTCCCCTCAAGCCGACACTGCGATTACATCAGTAACATGACATGCAGATTGAGTTACGCATCTGAATTTGTATTGATAAAAAATACGTAGTTTTTCTATGTTTTTAGGGCATTTCAAGAGTATTTTAGTTATTATCATTTTTGGCAATGTTTTAGGTCGTCAAAACCTGCCCCTTAATAATTATATTTCCCTATCCTAGGGATACTAAATAAATGTCCGACTGAGTCCAGTGCGATCGGTACATTCAGATAGTTTTGTATTCAAAATGGTTGTATTGTAGAAGTGCCGAAAAGGGCAGATATACAGGTGATTCAGAAAAATATTGCAACTTCTAGGACATGTAGGGACTCGAAGTTCATCAGTATTATCAGTATTCATCATTTAGTATCTTTATCAGTATGTGGTAAAATATATCTTTTAACGAAGTTACAAATGTGGCAATTTGTCCTTATTGATGGGCAACGTGTCTTGCACTGGTGTTTGGTTGGTACAACAAATCTCTTTGATTTATCAGGATGTTCACCTGTAAAGAGATTGGAACAGTTTAAGAGATTGGAACAGTTTACCTGCAGCAGTTTTCAAAGCTTTTCCTCTCAGTGTCCGAAGTTTTTAGAAACAAATTAGAATAAATTATTAAAATAGTATGTGCTGTGTAGTGCGGGTGAAGTGCTGGTAGTGTGTACATTCATAGGTAATCCAAGCAAAAAAATGTATGTAGTGTAGTGTAGTAGAGTGAGTGAAGTGAAGTGAGTGAAGTGAATCGGTGAACGGATCAATGCTCTTTTTCAATGGCTGGCTTTTTCGTGTCTTGTACTGTATTGTACGGTATTATAAATTATCTATTTTATTATTATCTATATTATTATATTATTATTATATATTATTATTATTATTATTATTATTATTATTAAGGTAAGTGTTGTTAATCTTTTGGCCAATTATTGATATTAACTGCCACCGGGTCATACCCAATTGCAGTTCTAATAAATGTATGTATGTATGTATCAAAACACCAAACAACCGATGAGTTGCCTATCTCAAGGAGAAAATATCACATGTGGAACTTCGTTATATAATAATTCCCTAAAGTTCATTTGTAAAAGTGATCTTCGACCTTGCTTGAAGCCCTAGGAGTTTGTATCATTTATTCTGAGGGACTCTGCCTTAGTCATAACCTTCTCTGACCCTAGGCTGCTGTATGTGGAGAACTCGTAATGTACTAACTATAAATAAATAAATAAATAAGTTTAATATACGTGTTACTGCTACACATACTCGAGCCTTTGTAGAGTCCCAGCGAGCGAAAAAAATTAAGCAGAACGAACAGGATAACAGAGGTAAAACAGACCGGTGAGCAGCGGGTAATTAGCAGCGCATGATTTTTAGAAGTTGGCACTGTTGATGGCGATAGCAGACGCTCTGTGTCGCTGTGTACAACGAAACGTCCCTTGTGCTGACACATTCGGTTCAAACGCGTTAGGTGTACGTCGGCATTCTCAAAGCCCTGCTTGCATTCGCTTTGCGTATCCCCTTGCTTTGTTGCGACGTGTCGCCTTTTCTAGTCCGCTAATAAATTCTCCTGTTTCAAACGTGCATCAGCCGCCCTTTGTTCAAAAGGCGGATATCCTTTCATTTGTTCTATGTGAGCTTGACACGTTCGTGCAATAAAGACTCTGTATGCAACTGTCAGTTTTATTCATGATTAATGAAGTGTGTGATAGAAAATGCGCTGTTGGGTCAGGTTAATTCGTGGATATTAATACTAGAATTGATGAGACTGCAAGTACTGAGAAAACTCATAATTTTTATGTGCCCGCATCGAAATCGAAAGAAACGTTGATATAAATATTCCACTTCATAATTGCATAGTCGTATTAGTGTTGTTAATATGTAAAAGAAATTATTTCAACGCATATACAAAATAAAATTTATCCACATAAGTGGTTAGGTATTTTTTATTGCTTTCTATCTTCAAGGCTAGTTAATTATTACTATACATCGTTTTACACTATTTTGTATAATGTCTTTGAGGACATAGAGAAGATAATGTTTCAGATTTAGATGTAGATTTATTTAGTCAAAAAAACAAAAAACTGTATGTGTCGTATGAGGGGAGAAGATCATCTGCGCACATTTTCTTGAATTCCAGAGTCCCTTCCCATCACTTTAACTATATATACTTGAAATATGAGTAAAAGTTTAAAATAAATTAATAAAAATAAATTTTATAAGCGAGAGATTAGCAATACTTGATAAAATAGACATTTTCGTTCCCGAGTTATAGAAAAATTATTTGCATCGGTAAATGAGTTGCAAGTATAATTTTTCTGCATTGCTAACAATGTATTAACTCGCCCTTATCTCTACTCTACCATTACAAGCAAAAGAAATGCTCAACAAAACGCGCGCATAGAGGAGCTACATTTACGTCCAGAAGGAAAGCAAGGGACCATCTCAGCATTTACTCGGGTGAGTCTTACACTAGTATTTTGAAAAAGCAGGCAAACCCTAATCGTTTAAAATTGGTTAAATGATGATTATAAAATATGTCCATTGAAAACCACGAGATGCTACACAATCACTTTCTGTGATGGTGCTAAAGTACAACAAGTTATTCTTTTTGGACTCATACTGTACTGCAGTGCACCCATTCATCACGTACATGTATGATTAATCCATTCCAAACTTGTTAAGATATACAGAAAGTTGATATACCATACCATCAATATCTAGAAGATGTAGTTGAAAATTATTCTGGAGTCGCAGTATTCTGACGGAGAGGACAATTCAGCCCAAGAGACCTAATGTTACCCTCTGGGACAAATCTCCAAAGAACGTTCACTTAATTGATTTTCCAGTCGTCAATACCTGCAATATGATGACAGCATTCCAGGCTATAATAGACAAACACAGAAAACTAGTATTTGCTATAAAAAACAACAATGGCGTGTTTCACAAGTGAAAACTTCCAATTGTACTGTCAGCAACAGGTGTCATATTAAAAACCTAGCAGATCATTGGAAAACCTAGGCATGGAGAAGAGTATCCTCATCGGCCTCCAGAAGTCGGCTATCATAAGTACGTGCTCACTAGTCAGGAGGTTCAGGGAGGGACATGTGGGTTTTTGATACTTCACTTTTGAAACTGATTGATTATTTGTGGAAACTGATATTTGATGTTAATATAAATGTCTTAATTTGTTTTATAGATTTTTAATATGTTATAAATATTACCATGCTTTGATGTATCTGCGTGAGACCAAATATATAATAAACAAAATAATAATAATAATAATAATAATAATAATAATAATAATAATAATAATAATAATAATATGGTAACAATGATGATGATGATGATGATAATGCATAGGAAAATGACTTTTTAGGAAGTGCAGGAGCTTCAACTGAAGCTTTGGAATCAGAACGCCTCCCCCAACCGTGGAAGTATGAGATATTCATGGCCCTTCGGGATCTCCATGAGCAGCAACGGAATATTCGAACGTTGCCGCATCATGACATCTCATTTTCGTGATTTCTCCTGCTACGCCTCGCTGGGTCTCCCCCGCGAAAACATAAGATAGTGCTTTTACGACGCATAAACTCGCATCCGAAGAGGGTGCCCGTTGATCGGCCCCTTCGCTTGGGGGAATGTTCTTCCCTTGGCCGTGGGAAATCTCTCCCCTGCCGCCGTGCCGAGTAAGGCCCTCGCCGCCCACCGGACTTTCCTCCCGGTGCCTGTTGCTCCTTTTGTGCTTTCGGCCATGGCCGAAACGGCGACCGCGACGACAGTGGCGATGGCAGCAGCGACGCTAGTTGCGACGGCAGCGGCGGAGGAAGCGGCGACGGATGGGAGGCAGTGACGGCAAGAGCGGCGGGAGCACTTACGGTTGGAGCGATGGCAACTTACGATGGAGCGGCGATGGCAACGATGAGATAGTGGCGATGGTAGCGGTGAGGGAGTTGCGAAGGCAGCAGCGATGGCAGAGGTGAGGGAGCGGCGATGGCAATACTAAGACAGTGGCGACGGCAACAGTGATGGCGACAGCAACGACCAACGGATATCGGGGCGAAGCTTCATTTTTTAATAAGTTATGATTTCGCGCCACCGCCGCCGAAGGCCGTCGGTGCCAATTGGCGTCCTGTTCAAAAGAGCTCTCGCTTTTTGGAAGTTTGCTCCTGCTGTCACAACGCGAATTAGAAATGGATGTGGAGAAGATCTTTGGGAGTGCGCGTGTTTGGTACATATGCGCTTAGGCAATTTGGAGTAAAACATGTTCCCTTAATTGTTACTTTCAGTACGGTTTTGATAGTGTTGAAACATGGAACACACGCAAAAAATTTGTCATCAGTTACCTTCAAAAATGCAAGGTCGTAGAAAGTAATAGATTTGTCTTGGGATGTTGTCTAATGAAGTATGTAATTTTGTTGTTTTCCTAAATATTACATTGTTTGCTATGCTGATGACGAACATTCGAAAAAGAAACAAATTGATCTGATTTGAGAAAACTTTTCGAGAAAATTACAAATTTTTCGTTTTTCGAATCGTGTATAGCTTTTCGCATACTAAATAATTAAGATTTTCAGAATAGGTTAATTCCAAAATTTGGATATTCAAAAATGTCTGCTGTGAAATTTCGGATTGGGTGAATATTGTGTGCTGACAATCAACATGTGCAAAACTCTCCGTGGTTCTATGTTCCCGTGAGGAAGAAAACAACAACAGATAATGCAGGGACATAAACCACGGACAGGCGACTCAGCTATTCAAGCCGAAGATGATGTGAGATAAACACGTACCAGGTCAACGATCGTCTTGCACTAGCTAACGGTAGGGATAGCGAGATAAAGCAAGTCGTTTAAAATACATTGTTTCTTTGCCTTTTCCGTGCGAATTTTTTTGCAACAGGTACAAAGAATATGTTAGAATCCAACAAATGAAGTTAATTAATTAGTTATGATATATCTACATGAAACATATTCTTTACACAATCGGGTGCAATTTCGCAACGATAATTGGAAAATAATTAAAATGTTATTTAGTTTATTACTAACAACATATTTTTTGTGCTAACTTTTGTTTAAGTAAAGGCCTTTCATTCGCATTCTAATATTTTAAACTCTGTTAATATAAAATCCATTAAGGAGATCTCGCTTATTGTTTACATCAGCGTGGGAGAGGATCCGAATTCATTCTAGAAGCCCTGCTGCTGAGATCGTCGTCGAGAATCTTTTCTCAGAAGAATTGACGCGTCGCTGCACACCGCCTAGGTTGCGACTCTGTGCTGCCCCCTTCCATGGCAGTGTTCTTGAACGCAAAGTGAGCAGTCCCAAACCTTCAAAAATCATAAATTCAGTAAAATGAATAATAATAATAATAATAATAATAATAATAATAATAATAATAATAATAATAATAATAATGAAAATTTCACTTACTAATAACTTCTAATTGCCATTTTTAACAATTTCCCTACTACAAATAATTTCATCAAAATTTAACGAGGAGGATTTCTTAATTCCTTATGTGGAAAGCAGTACTCCATGACAAAATCTCACTTATCTTAAACTCGATTCATTTATGCACTTGCTTATTGATCATCTGTTCATCCATGTCACATACTACATACGTATTGTTCGTAGTTTGTTCTCGCTCTCCTCCCATCTTTCCTTTCGTACATCTGTTCATGAGAGACACATTTCACTTTAATTCGTATTCATCTCTTATTCATAATTAATTTCGCCGTTAATTATGTACTTATTTTCCTAATTTTTTGTTAATTAACTTTATTGTTCATCTTTATCTCAATCATTTGTCACTTAAATTACACTTTTTTAGGAGACTTGTTTCATTTGAAATGTAATAAATGATGTGGGTACATTTAATTAAATGATTAAGTTAAATACTATAATTTCATTTTCATGACATTCAACATATAGCGGGGATTACGCTAACGTACAGTTGACAGGTGACAGCAATGAGATGTGATCATTGCCACAGCAATATGAAGTGAAATCAGGAGGTTCATGCATTCCATCAAGTCGAGTTAATCTGCTGCCATCCAATCTTTGGAAGCGTGTGGTTGATTATTCTGTAAACTACTTCGAAGAAGTGTGGATGCGTATGCGAAGGGTTGTTGATCCGTAAGTGCCCGCTTATGTGCCTTTAATGTTGATGTTATTACTAAAACAATCAGGATTTACATATGAATCAGTAGTGTGTTTTAAAATTTATTGCCTGAGTTGCGTTATCGTGAAACGCAAAAACAGTTTCTATAAAATTTTCCTGTAGGCATTTGCGGTAAATTATGTCCTAGAGAGGCAGGTTGTCATCGTTGTAGTTTATTGCCCAGACTTTGGAAACTAGTCGGTTAAGCACCCACTGTTTCGAAATTTGGCAGTACCACGCTACCAACTGTTTTTTACTCGAATGACGTTAGTTTTGACGCCACAGACCAACATAGTAACGGTCTCAGTCATATGTATCCATTACATGTGTCGGTCCCAAGCTGAGAGAATGTACGATATAATTTGCACGGGAAAAGTCGGAGGATTGGATTTTCCCGGGCATTTAGTTAGGGTTCAGATACAAAATCAACTGCCCCCAGAGTGATATTTGAATCCTCACATTTGATTTTTTTTGAGGGCAATGTGCTAACCCTCATTCCATTGGGTGCGGCACGATAAACCTATGGATTTCACCTAGACTATTATATGCATGATTCTGGTAATGGAATAATTTTTTAGGGACCCAAAGCACATGCAAGTGTGCGAAAAGTGTCATTCGATTTACTAATAACTCAGTATTTCCGGAAAACCAAAAAAGTCATTGTTGTGCCTCAATTAAATGTAACTATAACATCTTACTTATAATAGTTAGAACGCACAATACTATGTAGCGATTACATTGATAATAATTCTCAATGTTGAAATTGAATATGTTTAATGTAGATTCTGGGTGGATGCCGGCGGAGTGCCCTTTACAACGGGCAACGGACATCACGCGAACCTTATTTTCCAAATATCATTCTTCCCCCCCAATCCTTAGCGATATTTATCTGGATTTCCGTTCCCATGAAAACCATCCCCCATACTGCGAGTACGCGGTACTACGAGACCCAAACTGATCTAGCGAAATTATTTGAAATAATGTACACACTTCCTTTATCACTCATTTTAATGTACCCCCTAATGAAACATCTTTTTCGGACACATACCACTAGATTCATTGAATTCGAGAGACTTTGTGCCCGGTGAGATCGCGCGTCCGACCCATCGTGCAGCCCCCCCCCCGGCGCCGGGCGGCAGGAAGCGTTTTTCTGCGCGTCGCCGCCGCCGCCGCCGCGGGGAATTGCGGGGGGCGCAAGCGGTTAACGCGAGGCCCCGCCCCCGCCCCGCGTGCGTAGGCGGAGACGCCGACGCCGAGGCGACGCGACGCCGCCATGTGTTCGCTCGACGCTTGTTGTTCCGTTCTCAGGCCGCTCGTCTGCCGCGTAGCTGCGGCGCGCGCTTTGGGATCTACTCCTCTTCGCCAGCACAACGAGTCTAGTAGATACTGAATTTGTTTAACATTCGTTTATTTTTATTACGGTACTTGCCGTCGGGGCTCAGCTGTTTCTCTGGGGATTCATACGCAAGAAATACGAATGTGCAGAATACAAGCTTTATTAAGGGAATTCAGAATACACAGTATACGGCTACGTCAAGCTTCTTGTGTTCGTCTTCCTCCTCTTTGCCTTCGAGCGGGATTGAGGTTCGACCTTCTAGGTTCGAGTTCCGACAGTGGCGGGATTTTAGACTCTAGCTCGTCAGCTAGGTCCCATTCAGTCAGTGCCTGGAGTAGAATTCTAGCGGCCGGCTGCTCTGATCGGTAGTTTTCCAAGGTTTCTCCGATCAACTGCAGGCGAATGCCGGAACAGTGCCCTAACAAACGAGCCACGGACCGCGCGGGATCTTTCCTTTCTCTTCCTTGTCATATCCTCACCCCTTACTCACACTTACACTACCACACATGCCGGGAGACCGACAGGGAGCTTAGTGCTTGTCCCGGCCGGGACGGTGCCCCAGCTAGCCGACAGTAGGTCGGCGCCGGATATCGACCTACAGGGAGGGAAAACCACTCTCGACCAAAATCAAACATTACACTTACGGGACTAATTACCTTAGTAGTCGTCCGAATCGCTAACAGTTGATCAATCAATCTCTTCGTCGTCTTCTTTGCCTTCATCTTGTTCGACCTTGTCTTCTTCCGCATCTTCTTCTTCTTTTCCTGTGTGTGCCAGTAATGGGGCGCCACCTAAAACAAGCGGGAGGTCAACAATAACACCGTTTCAACCGTTTCCTTTGAACCTTTTCCCTTTCATTTGCCATTTTACTATTCTATAAATAAATAAAACGTGTTACGATAATAAAATTATAATTATAATGATAAAATCAATAAATACAGTTGATTTATGTTGAACCTTTCACAATGTTGTCACACGGTTTTGAGTGTCTTCCCAAAGATTAAAATAATTTCCAAAATTTGAAGACTGAAAACAAGGAATATCAGGGCTTGAACATGTTTATAGAAATAAAATGATTTATTATGTAAGGCTTCGACGCCCCTATCATAATTCTCAGGTGGACCACGGCTCTTCAGGCCACCGTGTTCGCACGGGGTCTATGGGAATTAAAATCGCTGGCGTCGCTTCAGCAAGCGTGTAATGCATGCATTACGTCAAGCATGTTGCCTAATTGAATATTGAAATAAGCGATTCGGGTTTTTTATAATATTAGTAGATTGTTACATTCATATTTGTTTTTTACATAATTTTAATAAATCATAGCATTCTTCTAGAATGTAGCTGTCAGCGGATAAAACAAAATTTTGGTATGTTGTTCTTCAAACACAAATGATCAAATCAAGTAAGAATGAAAATGTAGAAATGTATTGTTGTCTGTATACGTGCTCAAGGAGAAATTTAATTGAGTGATTGAACAACATGAATAATCTGGTGGCGTTATTCACGTTTCGTTTACATGACGTTTCAATGACAGTATGATACTAGTAGAAATAATAAAACTGGAGAAGGGGCATACTACTGCAAAATCATCAAAGAAGAGGCCTGAAATTCTATTATTGAGCATGACAGACTAACGCCAAATGCATGAATTTCGTGTTCTTCCCAAATCTTATTCTGGTGATGGCCTTTTCAGTAACGGAGACCAAAGTAATTGATTTCGGAAAGAGCAATTGGGAGCACAGGGATTGATTGAATCTGCGACCTCGAATTCGAATGCACCGATTTCGCCTTTAACCTTGTGATTGGGAGAAATGAGTTTAGTTTACAACGGTAACTTCGTTGAATTCGTTTGTATTTTCGTCTCTAAGAAGGGAAATATATTAAACCTCTACCGTTGACGTTGAAACAAACTGTATTTGGATCGTTTTGCCCGATTTGGATTGTGTTGTCCCTATGAATTCCCGTTACCTTTAATACGTAGTTATAATATAGAACTGTGTCTGGCAAATTAACAATACACTTCCTACATTTTTTCTCATGAATTTTTCAGAGTACTTTCATTATTCATTCATTTCGGAGTACTTTCACAAATTATGAAAATCATAGCAACTCTGAGATATTTGTTCCGCTTTTCTGTATTCTGAGATATTTGTTCCGCGATTCGTATACTTTCATCATACACGTGCGGTTAGATTGTGGAATTCTTGTTCGAAAGAGTGTGTTTCTGAGAAATGCAAACAATAATGAAAATAAAATTATAATCGTTGAGAGATATTTTATAAAATATGTATAAAGCAATTTCAAATTATTGTTTCCTTTATTTCATTTTTAGTAAAATTGATCAACTTTGTTTCATTTTCTTTAAAGGTAAAGCAAAATGTGGGTTATTTCAAATTTATGTAATATCTGATATCGAATGTATGCGTGAAACTTTGAAAAACGCCATAAATGTTGAAGCGACATCGACTTAAACGCTTAAAATGTTAAGCATGCATTTAAAGTATGGATAGATTGCTTAATATCTGCGTCATATTGATAGAAAATGACGTCCACTTAATTCGTACTTCCTCCGGAGTAACAATTCCCAACACACACCTCCCAACACGTCAATACTTTCTGATGAGATAAACTTGTTGTTCTTGAAGCAATGTGTGTCTGTACTCGGGTTAAGGCGTGCGCAATCAACATTGGGCCCCCGCTGCACTTCGGGCCTCAGCGACGAGTCAGCGACACCTGGGCGGCGTCAGAGGTGCAAGGCCCTGTCAGTGTGAGGAGATGCAGCGGGTCGCATAGCGGTTTGCTTAACCTCTGCCCGCGGGACCCTTGCCCCGTGGCCCCTGGCCTCCTCGTAATTGGGATGGCGACTCGTCCCGTGGCATCGCGACGCGTCGCCCGGGCGGATGGGAACGGCCGGTGCGGCGCGGCGCGGCGCGGCACTGCTTGACGATTTCGCGCCGGACGTGCGGAGCCGCCCATAGCCGACGCACAGTGGGTTTCATGGGTGGATTTGATTTGATTTATTTAGTCGAACAACAGTAAGGTCTGTACATGACGTATAGTGGACAAGTACTATCCGCGTACGTTTTTTAGAGCGAGAAACTCTTCCCAACACTTCAACAATAAATATTTAAATGATGAATAAAACTTTCAGAAAAGCATGGTTAACAACATTTGAAAACTAGACTTTATCGCTGACGAGTCATTGAAAATATGTTTGTATCGGTAAACGAACTGCAGAGTTTAATATTTTTGTATTGCTGAAACAATAGTACCACACCTCCGGCTCAGCTTCTACCACTACCGCAAAAAGGAGAGCTCTACAAAACGAGCGCATAGTGTAGCTACATTTTTTTGTACTCGGAAGCAAAACTAGGGCTCATCTCAGCATTCACTCTAAAGATCAAGGAATCTGGACTAAATTGAACAAAAACTTGATCGTGATGGGGGGTCATTGTCCTGGGAACTGAAGAATATTACTTGTTGCAGGAATAGTAAGTGTTTTTTTAAAATTATACAATACAAAAGTGAGCCAATACATTATGTACCATTGCTGAAATAAACATTTTTTCTTTTTGATAATCAGTAGAATGTAATGACAAAACTTATTATATTGTTATGACTAAGTTTGACAAGCAAGACTTAGGTAAACAATCTGGTGGATACAATACATTGCTTTATTCGTAATCGAAAAAACATAAATATCAGTACTCAATAACTTTGTTTCTTTTCTTCCTTCCTTCTTTCTTTTTCTTATTATTCTTTTTTCTCTTTCTCTTCTTCTTCTTCTTCTACTACTGCCTTTGCACCTTCAATTCTAATTCTGCGGAGTATAACATCACGCGTCTCCGTTGCACTTCCTCCATTTCCTGCTTTGAATGATTGCTCAGAGCTAATGTAGCATACCATGCAATATGTAGCATACGTATCGCCGAAGTCAATGTTCATAACATAGTGATTGAATTATACAGACATACTGCAAAATTATGTCAAAATCTTTAAAGAGCAATCGGATATGATTAAACATATACGTGGGAAATATTGATAGTACTTATTTATTTTACTCACTTGGAAAATAAATATTTTGATTTGGAACGGTTGTACGTTATTTGCATGTTAATTTTTAACACATAATACAGTTTTGAGAAACTAAGAGTCTAACGTTCTGTGTTAACCGTATTTAGAAACACTGAGATTACTTAAGTTCCTTGTGCATCGATCTCAAAGAGTAGAAAAAAAAGTAATGGCACGAAAGGACATTATTTACTTATATTTTCAATTATCTGCCAATTGGCATGGGGTTCCGAAAGATTCAATCTTAGATCCTATCCTCTTTCTATTATAATCAAATCTGGAGTTCGTGTACCCATGCAAATAAATTTTGTATGAGTTAGGAACGAAATGTCTAGTTTCCACAAATGTTGCTAATCTTCCGCTTTTTTAAATATTATTATTATTATAGCTCTTGTTATTATTATTTTTAACTTGGAGTGAAGGATTAATTCCATTTCACGTATTTTTTACATATTTTTACAATATTCGTTACATTTTTATGCACGAAGTTTGCTGTTTCAAAATACATATTTGTGGGACAGCGTATTCCTTTGCGCACTTCGTCACGTGTTTCAGCCCACTGTGTGACTTGCCGAGGGACGAGGTGTCCGGCAGAAGAATGTGTTTCCTGGAGGTCTTTCATTATTTTTTGTCTCCGTGCGTCTCAGCGACGAGGATGTACGCATTGAATTTTAAAGGCGTGGATGATATCCTTTTTGCAGCTGGAAAAAAAATCCTATGATTGTGTCTGGAAAAAGGAAAGAAAAATGAGTTAGCGAGGTACCTACGTATACCTTTTAAACGTTGTAGCATTATGTACTTCTCTTCCATGTATACTTCTCTGTTCGTTATCTTTCTCTACATAATCACTCCCCTAGTTTTTCACAGAAGCCGATCCAAGGGGAGAAACTGTGGGAAAAGTTCGATTCCTTTTGGACTTACAAAATGTACGCTATATGTGTTAATGTATAATAAAATAATATGATTAGATTAATTGATTATATAAATATAATGTATTTTGATATTGTTATTTATTACGACAGAAAATGTTCAATTGTCACCAAGAACGTTTTTCCAAAATGTCCCTCGTCCTCGCAAAATATTCTCCTTAAACAGTTGCTGATTCCGCGCTTGGCCATTCTGTCTTGTTCACGGTCGAGTGCTTTGTATGTGGAACGGGACCGCAGTCTAAACGTGTGTGTGGTGGTGCGTTGTTGCAGGGTGTCGTTCGGCAGCTCCAAGGGGTCCATGGTGGAGACGCTGGTGTACGAGAGTCCTCTGCGTGAGGAGCCCGAGGCTATCAGCCCCAGCCCGGAGGCCGCGAGCGCTGCGCTGCTGGCCGGCCCAGGCGCCGACCCCGAAGCCCTCGCAGAGTGAGTACTCCGGCGCTCACATCCACATTCACATCCACACACTCACAAACACTCAGCCTCAAGAGAGAACGCTTTGCGGAACAATTGGGCTCCAATGCTCAGTGGATACACGTGCATTTTGTCGTGGACAAAGTCTTGATGGGGAGACGCTTACTCCTCCTTTTGGACACAGAAAATATGTGCTCGCTCCTTTTAATAGTACACCACTAAAATTACTTTCATACTGGTGCCTGAAAGTAAATGTTACAAAGTTGTAGAGCGTGTATGGGGATCTAAATTGATATTTCGCAAATGAGCTGGGAATGTGTGGCGAAAATTCGTGAAGAAGTTACATATGTTATATTTGCTCCTGATTGTTGGACAAATTAATGTGCGTGTTTGTTCTGTGACACTCAGACGCAGCCAAAAAGTTTTCAGGTATCTGCTGAACACTGGCGTATGTGTTGCCTAACAATCGGGAGCAAATGTCACTTGTTTACCGTTATATTAAATTTTTCACCATCCATTGGTAAAAAGTTATCAATTCCAACCTTTGCATACGCTAGAAGTTTGTAGCATTTATTCTGACTCTCTCTGTTAATGAATATTAAGTCATTCGAATATTTGTATTTCTGCCACTCACACACATCGCCATGAAAGCGGGTTCGTAGTGCCGCTGTTTCTCTTGTCTGTCATTCCACCATTGCTCCATCATTCCAGTCATTGGCGGCTCCAGGAGAGGCAATGGTGACTATGCCCCCAAATCCCAATATTATTTAATAATTGTTCTGTGTTAATTTCAACAATTATCACTTTTTGATCACATCCAAATGAGTAATGATAGCATCACATCCAAAGGTGTATCATTATCAATTTATTTTTTAAATTTCAAATCGGCAACTTTTAAATAGAAAATGACAAAAGAAGTAAGAAATAGTGAACTTATTATTTTACTTTTAATAATTTAAAATAGGTTTGCCGACGGAAAATGAAATGGTTTCGACCCTTCAAATATTTTTGGATCCCCCTCATATCCAAATCATATCAATATCAAGCACCCACGAACCCAATGCCGTGCGTGGGCTGAAAGTGAGGGAAATTTTTAACTGGTCAAAGAGTGCAATAAGTTACGCGTATTCATAGATCAGTGTTTCTTATAAACATCAATATTAAACTATTATCCAATTGTTAATAAAATAAATTAAAAATTAGTGATGTACAGATTTATTTAATTTCTTAGTTTAAAAGAAAAAAAATGTTACCATTTACGAGTTTGTGATATACTTTACACATTTACAGTTTTAAAAAAAATATTTTTTAACGTGTTGATGATTCTGATAGATGTGACATCTCTGTTTATTTCGTCATATTAGAGTTTTTCATGGCAAATTTAGATTAAAGATCATATAAACTGATCACATTTTTTGGGCACTCGAGCATAGAAACTAATATTTACCTTCACATTTTATTGATTGTAAAGTGTTATTTTGCGGTATGCGTACGCAATGTAGATTTTGGCATATGCGTACCGCAAAGATGTCATGGCCATATGCAACAATTCATTACTGCAATGTAAGCAAAACACTGAGGTTACATGAATCAGCATGACTACACCTCGCATATTGAAAATGATTCCAAGAGTATATCATGTAAGTTTCCATGAATTCGTTCTAAAAAAAAAAGTATGTTGGCAATTTGTACCAAAGTTTATCGTACTCCTTTCAAAACGCTAAAGTCTCAATATTTTATTCATATGCAAAGACTCACTTTCTGCAGTACGTAAACAACCCTTTTCCCAAAATCATTTGTATCTCTATATTTTTTCGCTCTGGCTGCTTCTCTTTGCCAATACTCTACTGCAAATTGGTACACATCTGCTTTTAAATTTTCTTTCTCTAACCCTAAACAGTCACAAAATATTTCGTCCATCTTAAAAGAAATCATCATTGGCACACCGAGAGGAGAAAAGTCATGGGTCACAAGCCGATGATACTTATTCACAAATTTAATTTTTATTATTATTAGAGTAAAGAAAGTAATTCAACATTTCGAATGAACAAATTACTAATAACCATAAATTAACGAATAAAAATTTTAATTTAATATAGATTAAGAATACTTTTACACAAAAGTCGGCTGGGCACAATAACTATGCCCCTTAAGAAAACTTCTAGTTACGCCACTGAATGAATGTTGCTATATTGCTATGAATCTTATGAGAACACTACAAGTGCATTTTTGATCAGTGCATATTTCTCTATATTTTTGTTTCTAAAAACGAATGTTTCACACAAAATATATAAATGTTTACGCGGATGCGTTCTTCCATTACAAAGTATTATGTCGGAAATAAGGATTTCAGAATTATGGAAATGCTCTTACTTCAACTGAAATTTATATTTGTTAGATGATTAGCTATATATTGCATTGACCAATGTCTGTAGTTAAAACTACGTTACAATGTTAGAGTAATGTGGTGTAATGTGTTGCTGAAGTTGATTTAACATTGCATTTAAGAGCAGGTTTATCCGGGCAATTTATCTAAGAAAACAGTTTCATAAATTTGCGTTTCATGTAGAGAATCGGAGTAAGGAGAAAGTTTTGGTCATTACTCTGTATCCTCTGCAAACGTCATTTTGTTGTAAACAATCGTCATTAACTAAACTATTAGAACATTCCACCTCAATGTTTCATTATTTAGTTCCTTTCTTTCACAAGACATACACGATGAGGTTTCAATTAATATTGAAATTGGGTGCACATTCAATTAGTATTCATTCTTATTCATACAAGGAAACAGGGTGTGGAATTCCATTTTAATTGCAATATATGGCGTTCGTTGTGAGAGGTCTTCTGATGCGGAGTCGAGAATAGAAACGAAACGGATTATTATTGTTCGGAGTATGATGTTCAAACTACAAACTGAACAGTTTCCATAATAATGTTATTCTTAGTTTCAGCATACAATATTTTGCGATTTCTCTTCCTTTTTACAGATTTGTGCATATCATTTTGTTATGCATGATATTTCTTTGAATAATTTACGCCAAGTGACTGCTGAACAAATGATTATATTTCGTATTATATTAATGTCGCGTTACAACGGGGAATCGAATAATGTCTATTAAGCTTTTATTCACGATCATATTACCATTGTTGATTTCTGCTTTCACTGCTTCTGAATGTCTTATCGTAAATAATTTTGCTCGCATGATGTAATTTTATTTTTCTACTTTTGCGTGTGCGTGTGTTTTGAGTGCAGCCTTGTTTCTTCCAAAACAAGTTTCGGAATGTGAAATAATCTTCCTTCGTTTATCTGCCTAATAGTTCAATGTATGTATGAAGGGATTTTTTATTAGGTTTATTAGGTTTTATTAGGTTTATTAGGTTTAAGATTATCTGACAAGTACTACTAATAAAAATATTTTGTATTTTATTATATGATAATTTTATTATGTATGCCTGCCGGGAGAATTTTTAGATGAAGGAACGCTATTGTTGATAGACTTTTAATGTAATTACTCTAATTAGTGCAAAACTGATGCGGTCGGGACAACATAATGATAATGACTACATATACTTATATTTGTTATGAAATCTTTATTGCTCTCGGATCTTGGCATCAAAGCAGGATATAGAATTTTGTATTTAGAAACTTTCTTTTTAATTAAAAGGAATATTTTAATTATAGTATGTGGAAATTCAACAAATGAATTTACTTTGGATGAAAGTAGATCGCCTTTCCATAGCCTTCCACTGCTCTAGTGTAGAAGTTCAAGGCCTTCCCGCTCTCCCCACATCTCGTACCAAGCAATCTCCGTCATGCACTCGACGCTGGGTACACATGAATACCACGTGCGCTTGTGCGCTTTCAGCGGCGACCCCGATCTCCGTCGCTCGTTCTTATGAGGCGCACACATATGTAAACATGGCCGTGCTGCCCCAGGCGCGAAACGGTCTGGGCCAAGTCGCGCTGCGCTCACGCCGCTGTTTTAATTCCCTCCCACCGCCACCCACGCGTCCCCGCCCCTGTGTAGTCCCGCGCGTGCCCACCTCCTCCGTCTCATTTCACCCCCACCAGCCATTGAGTGCCCCACTGCAATCCGCTCCGTTGACCCGTGCCGCCCCTCGCTTCTTGCGCACCCTACCCACGTTCGCCCCGCTGCTGCGCGCCGCGAGAAAGGTAGAGTTTGCAGAGTGACTCACGATAGATCGCTGCGGCCGGTCGCCGGTACCTTGAACCGCGCATTTGCAACTTGGGACCCGCATCAGCCCGTCCCGACGTCCTAGATTCTTACGAACTTCCAACTCCCTGCGCAGGCATGGTGTAGAAGGTGGACAAAACAGTCTGTTGTTCTGTGATGTTTTTGGCGACGAAGCCGCTTAGCGCTGGACATCTGACGATCTTCCTTGTAGCAACGAATTTTCTTTGCTCGTGGCACAGTGCTGTAGATGTACCGCTTAGGAGAAACGAAATATCTCACGCGAAACTTTCGGGAAACGTCTCTTGTCTGTCCGTCAATAAGTAGAAGAGTTGGTGAAAAAGACATTGCAGGCTTTCGATTTAATTGATTCCTTGTGCGTGACGTGTTATGGTGCTCCAAGAACATCACCTGCCACTGATGCTGAATGCGGAGAGACATTCCGTTGAATGAGAGAGGCAAAAGTTGCCCGACTAGTAGCGAACGGAGATAATACATATGTCAACTAATATTTAAAAAAAGTTTGTTTGTTCGTACTTAATGTGCTGCCGTGTCATTAATCAAAACCGTGTCAACTTATTCCTTGCACATGTGGGAAGAATATAGGCATAGAATATATATTATGTTCAATGGCGAGCATCGGTGATATCGCGAAGACTTACAGACGAACTCACAAATATCAAAATTGATACAAAAAGTAATGAAGAATGGATGTTAATATCATCACAGGTACAATCTAAATCTCACTGTATTTGTTGGTCATCATTTCCTGGAGTATAATGAGTAATATCCGAATAATGAGTTACTGACAACCTTTTAAATT